CATGTCAAAATGTTCTTAGATACACACCACTAATCAACAGCCACACACCTTGACTTTCTTCATGTTTTGACTATTTTTATGGTCAGCTGCAAGCTGGCATATCAGGTGACGCCACGGTTTGACGTTGCCTGTGTAGTATGGGGTTAGCCCAAACCAGATAAATTGTATAGAGATCTTGGGTTCAGGGTCTTTCATCTTCCAGGCTGCCTGTGCGCAGGTTTGGGGGTGGAAGAGATCTGGACGTGTAATGTTAATTTTACCTGTGATCCTTTGAATAAACCAGCACGGTTATTTTTTTATATAATCCAAGTGGTCTACTTCGTCTTTGTGAGTTCCTGGTTTGAAAGAGCCGGAAGAGGCTAAAACAAACAGAGCCTTTACCGTTGTGCGGTGATGTTGTCAGTAAGGGAGGTGAACATTAACCAGAGCAGGCGCACACTGAGCTTGGTAAAAACACCCAGACATAAACAGAGTGATGTGGTGTATGCAATTAAGTGTAGTCAGGAGTGTAACAACTTGTACACTGGTGAAACTAAGCAGCCGCTTTACAAACGCATGGCCCAACACAGGAGGGCCAACTCCAGTGGACCAGAGTCAGTAGTCCACCTCCACCTGAAGGACAAAGGATATTCTTCTGAGGACAGTGAAGTCCAGATCCTCTCCAGAGAACATCGCTGGTTTGTGAGAGGAGTTAAGGAAGCTATTTTTGTAAAAATAGAACACCCCTCACTAAATAGGGGTGGTGGACTAAGACACAACTTGTCATCCATCTACAATCCTGTTTTGAGATCTCTGCCCAAACATGCCCACCAGGACAATAGGCGTCGGTCGACAGGGGAGGATTGAAAGACAGATAACAACTCTCACCAATACTGGGCTATAACGACTCAGTCGTTTCGGGACATTGTTGGCCTTCAAAGGACTGAAACACCACCGAGGGGGATAAATATCTCTGACTCAACTCCAGTCAGTCTGAACTGATGAAGCCTCTTGGATGAGAGGTGAAATGTTTTTGACCTAGAAATCTATTCCATTTGATTTTTTCTAGGTTTTTCAGCTTACTATGACCTGGATGACTGAGAATCTGCACAGACAAGCAGGCTGAGAAAGTCGCAGAAAAGAAAAATTTTTAGGGAAGTTAATTGTGGCACAGTTCACCAGAGATGTACATATTGCTGTTACGCTATATTGTGGGAGGGTGAAAATCTTAAAAACGCTCAAAAGGTCGACTTTAATTTATAAATTGTTTTTGTTTGTTTTACAGGGGACTTTGCCTACGACATGCATGAGGTATTTTACTTCTGTCTTTTCAGTACTGCGCTCATACCTGTGCTTAGTACCTTATATTTGTAAAGCCGCTGTGATATTCCACTAAATCCACTGTGACAGATGAAATAAGCCACACATTTCTTCTTATTTTTCCCCTTCCCAAAGCTCACCACGGTTTATCAGTGCTTATAAAGGAACGCACCTGTAGTTGAGATGCACAGTTTATGATTAAGCATTACAATGTCAAAGGTCAAAGTGTTTATTTGTCATATGCACAGTTAGGAAACATGTTTCCTTGTACAATGAAATTCTTACTTTGGCGTCCACATGAGTGCCACATAATACAAGTGAAATATAAAGTAGATGAGCAATAACACAAATCTAAATAGACAGTAAAATTACAAATCTAAGGCACTTTAAAGCAGCAACTGAAGGGAGCAAATAAATATACAACATGAATACAATATAATGTAGAGAGAATATATGCTACATGGGAGCTGTGGAGTGTAAATACTCAGCAGTGAGTGTGCATAATGAGTATGTAAACAGTACAGATGGAATTACATGTGGTAGATCCTGAGTCAGCTGTTTAGAAGTATGATGACAGTCGGAAAGAAAGAGTTTTTCAGTCTGGAGGTCCTATACTTCTCACTTCTGAGCCTCTGACCAGAGGGTAGGGAGATGAACAGTCCATGCTGGGAGTGGGTGGGGTCCTTGAGGATGGAGGCAGCTTTCCCACGCACCCTGCAGTGGTAAATGCTCTGCAGAGAGGGCAGTGGAGTCCTAGTGATCTTCTCCGTAGTCTTTACCACTCTCTGCAGGCTCTTGTGGTCCATAGCAGTAGTGCTGCCATACAAGACAGTGATGCACCTGTTCTCCGTAGTCTTTACCACTCTCTGCAGGCGCTTGCGGTCCTTAGCAGTTGTGCTGCCATACCAGACAGTGATGCAGCTGGTCAAGATGCTCTCAATGATGCAGCTGTAGAAGTTGCAAAGGATCCTAGGCGACATGCAACATTGTGAAATTCCTTAAACCTATGGTGAAAGATGAGAGTTAGAATTGAGCTGTATTTGATGAATAAAAATATTGCCATTCAAAACCACCTCAGTAACATATTTGCTCATCTGAAACCCTTGCAGCTGTCATTTTTAACAGTGGACATAGCACTGTGTTGGATGCCAATGTATTATTTCCTGGTGTTTTTCAAATATGGAGAGAATGCTAAAAGCAATGAGGAGACTTGTGCAAATATTAATAACTGTAATTGTTTTGTTTGTATATCAGTAAATGGAGTAAAATGAAACACAAATGAGAATCTCTGGCGTGATGTTTACCGGCTAAATGACACTGTTCTAGGACAATGCCAGGATTGGGGACGAGTTCATGAGGCAGATTCAGTCCATTGCAGCCTATGTGCCCTACATGACCTGCCCAGGCAACCATGAAGCTACATAGTAAGTGGACCTCAAGTGAATGTCTCTTCTCTCACTTTGACATTGAGACTCACTGATGTATTAGTCAATTAACTCACACAATTAGCCAGTGAGTCAACATGAAAACCGTTTTTTTTTTTTTCATCTATTAGCCACTGGGTTTTTCTTTGTTTTGTTGACATTTTTTCACCACATTCTGTTCAGATCACTTGGGCAAAACTATATTTAATAGATTTAGGCCAAAGACAGCAGTACAGTATGTGCTATGTTTTAGAGACTTGCCAGACACCACTTAATAAACTGCATTTAGGATTGGCTACTGTAAATTTAAAGTGTGTATGTGCATGTTTTGGAAGTAAGGAGGCTTGCAAACCTCCCATATAAACACCCTTTGTGGTCCGTTGCAGTTTTTCCACTATTAAAAATAATTTGGTCTGCTGAAAACTCCTCACTGTAACATTTAAACAGATGGAAGCCATTGTGGTCCCCAAAAGCAGGAGCAGCATCAGGAACCACCAACATCTAAACAAGGCAGCACTCTCCAAAACAAACATTTATCGAACTGGGAATCATCAGCTTGCTATCTGTTTTTCAGTTCCCAGACACGGCCCTAGGTGGTGAGACCTCTGCGTTTTGAGTCATCATGTCTGAATGTGCTGTTCATATTTAAGCTCAGGAAAGCAGAGAGACAAAGCAACTTAACTGTGTGAAAACATATTTACAGCTGAAGCAAGTCTTTGATTTATCGGTTAGTCAATCATCAGAAATGTAATAAATTAATTTGAAAATTGTCATTTTTTTTAAAGCAATTGTGTTAAACACAATAAAAGACTTAGCAGCCTTCGGATACTTATTATCATGAGGATCTGCAAATAACACATCCATAAATTTCAAGCACATCTCCTGGAGTTAGTGGTGTGTGTATATGCATTTTTAAGATTTCAAGGTGCCTGAGCTTGCACCATAATATTTATTTGCCGCCACTGCTGCCTAGTGTTTATAAAGGAGCTGCTAAGAGTAGTCTCTTTTTCTTGGCACTGCATCCTGATGCAAAAACCAGTACGCTGCATTACATAATCAGAAACCCGACTCCTGTCTCCCTCCTCTATACCTAAATGTGGGTTTTGTTCTGCGGCGTTGTGAAGAATCCAAATATTCCCAGTTGCTGGCACATACAGTGGGTACGGAAAGTATTCAGACCCCCTTAAATTTTTCACTCTTTGTTATATTGCAGCCATATGCTAAAATCATTTAAGTTCATTTTTTTCCTCATTAATGTACACACAGCACCCCATATTGACAGAAAAACACAGAATTTTTGACATTTTTGCAGATTTATTAAAAAAGAAAAACTGAAATATCACATGGTCATAAGTATTCAGACCCTTTGCTCAGTATTTAGTAGAAGCACCCCTTTGAGCTAATACAGCCATGAGTCTTTTTAGGAATGATGCAACAAGTTTTTCACACCTGCATTTGGGGATACTCTGCCATTCCTCCTTGCAGATCCTCTCCAGTTCTGTCAGGTTGGATGGTAAACATTGGTTGACATTTTCAGGTCTCTCCAGAGATGCTAAATTGGGTTTAAGCCAGGGCTCTGGCTGGGCCATTCAAGAACAGTCACGGAGTTGTTGGGAAGCCACTCCGTTATTTTAGCTGTGTGCTTAGGGCCATTGTCTTGTTGGAAGGTGAACCTTCGGCCCAGTCTGAGGTCCTGAGCACTCTGGAGAAGGTTTTCGTCCAGGATATCCCTGTACTTGGCCGCATTCATCCTTCCCTCGATTGCAACCAGTCGTCCTGTCCCTGCAGCTGAAAAACACCCCCATAGCATGATGCTGCCACCACCATGCTTCACTGTTGGGACTGTATTGGACAGGTGATGAGCAGTGCCTGGTTTTCTCCACACATACCGCTTAGAATTAAGGCCAAAAAGTTCTATCTTGGTCTCATCAGACCAGAGAATCTTATTTCTCACTATCTTGGAGTCCTTCAGGTGTTTTTTAGCAAACTCCATGCAGGCTTTCATGTGTCTTGCACTGAGGAGAGGCTTCCGTCAGGGCACTCTGCCCTAAAGCCCCGACTGGTGGAGGGCTGCAGTGATGGTTGACTTTTTACAACTTTCTCCCATCTCCCGACTGCATCTCTGGAGCTCAGCCACAGTCATCTTTGGGTTCTTCTGTACCTCTCTCACCAAGGCTCTTCTCCCCTGATAGCTCAGTTTGGCCGGACGGCCAGCTCTAGGAAGGGTTCTGGTCGTCCCAAACGTCTTCCATTTAAGGATTATGGAGGCCACTGTGCTCTTTGGAACCTTAAGTGCAGCAGAAATTTTTTTTGTAACCTTGGCCAGATCTGTGCCTTGCCACAATTCTGTCTGAGCTCTTCAGGCAGTTCCTTTGACCTCATGATTCTCATTTGCTCTGACATGCACTGTGAGCTGTAGGGTCTTATATGGGCAGGTGTGTGGCTTTCCTAATCACATCCAATCAGTATAATCAAACACAGTTGGACTCAAATGAAGGTGTAGAACCATCTCAGGGATGATCAGAAGAAATGGACAGCACCTAAGTTAAATATATGAGTGTCACAGCAAAGGGTCTGAATACTTATGACCATGTGATATTTCAGTTTTTCTTTTTTAATAAATCTGCAAAAATGTCAAACATTCTGTGTTTTTCTGTCAATATGGGGTGCTGTGTGTACATTAATGAGGAAAAAAATGAACTTAAATGATTTTAGCATATGGCTGCAATATAACAAAGAGTGAAAAATTTAAGGGGGTCTGAATACTTTCCGTACCCACTGTACGTTTCCTCCTCATTCTCTGTTGTGCCTCCTTTCACTATATTTCTCAATTCAACCCTCTTTCCAACCTCAAAGCCTAAAAGGCAATTGAAACAGGGCTGACCACAAAGGTTTACAGTCAGCATTCCAGCAGGATGAGAACACAGGGTCCACAGAAGATGCTAAGGCCCCAGTCCAGACTGTCTTTGTTCATCGAGCCCTCAGAGGGACTGTTAGTTAGAGGTGCTTCATGAAGAGTGCAATTAGCACCAACTGCCTGGATCAGGTCATGAAAAGTAAGATTTGATGAGAAGGGAAAATATTAGGTCATTATAAGGTTGTTCACATTGAATTTGACATCCGCCAGATTTCTCCATCTTATTTTAATGGAAAAAAACTGTCTCGCAAACAAGTATGCTTTGATTTACAGGGGATGGTGCTCCATCAGATTTTCCACCTCTGTGGAAGCATGTGGCTGACTTAATCCTGCCTCTTAAGAGATGCCTGTTTGTATTCCTAGAGCGTATGTGTATTATTCCATATTGATTGTTTATTTCTGCTAACTAGACAGTGCATACTCAGAACATTTTATATGTTTGCTAGTATCCTTCTTAGCCACAAGATGGGACTATAAACCCATATTATGATTCCTCCTGTGTCAGTGTGTAAGACAGAACTCCAGACCTAAATTGATTTTCACAGGAGCAGAGTTCACCCTGGCTGGTGCAGTGCTTCAGTGGTTAGCATTGTGACCTCACAGCAAAAAGGTTCTGGGTTTGAGTTTTCGCAGCTGACCGGGGCCATTCTCAGTGGACTTCGCATGTTCTTCTTGTGCTTGTGTGGGTTTTCTTTAAGTAATCAGTACTCCCACAGTCCAAAGACATGCATGTTAAGTTAAATAGCGACTCTAAATTACCTGGAGGTTTGTATAGTTGTCTCTCTCTATGTGTCAGCCCTGTAACAGACTGGCAACCTGCACCCCACCACTCACCCAGTGTCAGCTGGAAGTGGCCAATATGATAGACACCCAAAGAACTCGTTCAGCATTAAAGATACCAAATCTGAAAGTATTTTACTTTGTGTTGCAGAAAAGGTGCTGAATAATCACAGCTCAGAAATTGACCTCTGTTGAATTATCACACTAGCCTTGGCAATTTAATCCTGACCTCAGAAACTCAGCATTAGTAAAGGCTTCTGTTATCCTCCTTTTGTGTCCCTGTCTCTGGCATTTGACCTCTGACCTTGCTGTTCTCTAGTTACCTATAGCCTTTTTTTTTTTTTTTACTTCTTTACATAAGAAAACAACCATTTCCATCACCTCGCTATGTTAATGGCCTGTTGAATCCAGCTCCTTCTTTTATGCTAAAGTTAAAAACTGTGAAATGAGACTAGTGAGTTGGTGGAGTTGTGGAGAGCTTTCCAGGAAAGAGTTTCGCCCTTTTTGCATGGTGCACCCATTGTAATATGTGGATATGACTGGTTAGCTGTGACTGATGGTGCTCTTTTAGCTGCTCCAGAGATGTCGAAGAATGTCTGTGCATCATGTAGTCTGGCACTGTATAAAGTGTCCAGAAATTAGCTACATCTGTGGTAGCACTGATAGTTTAGACAAGTGTAGTGATGGGTCAATCACTGGAAGCACCCATTATATCTGGATCAAGTAAGAACCACCACGACTCCGTGTTAAAACCACAGTGGCGCGGCCTTAAGATGGATGGATGTAGAATTGTAATCTTTTAAAGGGCAATATTTTTAGGCCTCTTTTCTATATTTGACCCTGGCCCCCATATGTTGCCCAAATTTTGATTATCTGGCTCCAGAAACTGACCATGATTCTAAGCTTCAAAACATCCCTTCAGTAACCTATAGGGTAATGTCACAGATGATATGTCTGTTTTTCTACAGCCTGTAATTTTGGAGAAGCAGCCACTGATAGTCTGGTTATCCCAAAGTGTATGGTTTCCCTGAATATCTAAGACTGGCTATATTTTTTTAAGTTTGAAACAGATGTCACAGCCACAGCTGGATGGTCATCTTTATCCAGTGATCTGCCATCCTGCATTTTCTAATTAATTAGTCCATCTAATTACTTTTCTCACTATCATGTTTGTCCACAGCAACTTTTCCAACTACAGGAATCGATTTAGCATGCCAGGCCAGACTGAGAGCTTATGGTACAGGTAAGGGAAAAGAATACAGTATTTAGTTAATCTGGATTTTGCTCTTCAATCTCAGCTGCATAAAACTTCACATCCATGTGCTGGCTCCACACACAAAGCTTTATTTTCCAACATGTGAGCTATCTTAAAGTGTACCATGCCTCCTACTGTATTAGTAAGCATTAAGGAGGTAGAAGAGGCAGCAGCTTAAGGGAGCTGGCAGCAGAAGACTGCAAGGTTTTGTTCTCTTAGTTTAGTCTGCCTTTAGTCGCAGGAACATAGAGACTACACAAAGGACCTATACATCTGACTGGGTGACTCATCCCACTTCAGACCTCCATCTCTCCAACAGTAAGATAATATCTCCCTACTTTGCTGCTGACTGAAAGCCCTTAACTTATGTACATGGTTAGAATCGAGGGGAAGCAGAGAGGCAAACTGAATTCTGTCAGCTGCTACCAGAAATATACAGAACACATGCAAAGAGCACATGCAATGCACCATGTCAGTGCTCATACTAGTGTAAGACCTTTTATATCTCAGTGCTCCATGTGTTCTCACATCAAGTCAGAAGTACACCCTTAAATCCGATGAATTCACTAAAGTGAATCATTTGCACTCAACATCAAAGTACCAGCGACAACATGCCCTGGGTTTTGAGGTGCATGCTCTCTCTACTTTGCATCATTTTAATGATGTGTGTTTGCAGCTGGAACCTGGGGTCAGCGCACATCATCTCCCTCTCCACTGAGGTTTATTTCTATCTTGAATTTGGCCTGGAGCTCCTCTTCAAGCAGTATGAGTGGCTGAAGAAAGACCTGGAGGTTAATGACCATACCCGTTACACTTGCTGATGATGGCTAAGTACTCTACCTTGTTCTCACACTTTGTTGTTTGTAAATTTAGCACTTTATCTTTGAAAGTCATTCGGTTATCTCTTTCCCCATTATGAGTTTACAGTATTTTTCATTCTGTTCCAAATTAAAAGGTATTACCTCTGCCTCCCTGTCTTTATTGGGCACACATTTATATATTTGTCTTCATTTCTTCCTACTCCTTAACTAGGAGGCCAACAAGCCTGAGAACAGAGCTGTGCGTCCATGGATCATTACCATGGGACACAGACCCATGTACTGCTCCGATGACGACCAGGATGACTGTACCAAGTTTGACTCCTATGTATGCACATCAGAGAGTCAGATATTTTCAGTTATATTCTTTTCCCAATGTACACGATCAAGCTTCAAACTCAGACTTGCAGCTAGCTTTATAAGAAGTATGAATATGACCCAGGAAGTAAGGAGAAGCTTTACGGTTTGGCAGAAAGACAGTACTACTCATGTTCATATTGTGTGGTCCTTAAGTGTGACAATTCCTGTTGTTATGGTTTGGCAGCATTCCTGATGGCTATGTACCTAACATTATATAAATTACCTACTAAGCATTTGTTGTTTATTTTGCTGCTGCTGTGTTGCCTGACACTTTATTTGCCCCTGGTAGCAGACATATCATGCACGGTGTAAGCTGGCCAGTCTACATCGCAAACCCATAAGAACGTTGAGTACGGTATGCAGTGATAATCACTGTAATTTGGACCAAATAGTTTCCAGTTAGAAAACATTCTCTCAGCACTTGGCAGTGCTTGGACTGAAGCTGGCATGTGCATAATGGTAGTGTGTTTACCAGGTAGTGTGTCAGATAGCAGGCAGTGTTATGGACATCGATGCCAGTTCATACTGTTCTTCTGTCTGGTATATTTCAGGTCCGACTGGGACGAAAAGACACCAAACCACCAGCTCCTGGTCTAGAGGATCTATTTTACCGCTATGGTATGTTTCCTATTCGACAACCAGCTGTGTGCTGCTAATGGGTGTTTAAGATCACAAGTTTGCATGCTCAGACAGACTAATGTCCTAACAGATGTGTAGAGCGGAGCAATCCAAAAATACTTTATTAAAAAAGCAGGCTCATGGTCTGGCTGACATCCCACCAGCCATTTCTAAATGGTTTTCCTGTATTACATTCTGAGCTTTGTTTGTTGCATTTCATTTGTGATGGAAAGTGTTGGTTTCTCTGATCTAAAGCTTTTGTTGATTGCAGAACAATCTCAGAGGACTGACTGAGCTGTTTGGGAAGTTATTTTTCTGACTATCTTTTGCTAACTATGGTTCACAGGAGTGGATCTGGAGCTGTGGGCACACGAGCACACATATGAGAGGCTTTGGCCCGTCTATGCTGATAAGGTCTGCTACTGCATTCCTAAGTATTTTCTAATATCTGTTCTGAATTAGTGAAAGAGACTCGCTATACTTTCCTCTTTAGGTGTACAATGGGAGCAAAGAGCAGCCTTATGTGAACCCCAAGGCTCCAGTACATATCGTCACAGGCTCTGCTGTAAGTACGTTGACATCACTGCGTCACTGTTCAAGTTTTTCTACATAGACCAATGCATGGAATTGACAGCAACATCAACAAAACAATGTTATGTATTGTACACAGTTCCCGTCTGTGGGGCAGCTGGTCTCCCCGCTGTGTTTAGAGCCAACTGTTCCTCTGGGAAGTGTTTTCTGATGTGGTAGCGGTAGCGAGCAGTGCAGGGCATCCTCTGTCAGCTAACCACAGAAGGACTCATCACTGGCATATCAAAATGCAGCCAGACTCACACTCAGGCACAGCCACAGTTGTGAATAGTACACAGAGCTGGAGAGAGGCATGTGGCTCATCACAAACCGATTCAGTTTAATCACTGGTGATTCCACTGCAGGGCTGCAGAGAGAAGACTGACAGCTTCAATCCAAACCCCAAAGAGTGGAGTGCTTTCCGCAGCACAGACTATGGCTACACCCGCATGAAAGTGTTCAACACTACCCATATTTACTTGGAGCAGATCTCTGATGACCAGGTGAGTGCACAGAGAAGAACATGCACACAAGCACAGTTAAGATGAAAAGAGGCTTTTTAAGGTTAAGGATTATCGCCCAGTACTATATAATAACAAACCTTTCTGTGTCTTCCAGTATGGCAAGGTGATTGACAGCATATGGGTGGTGAAGGAAAAACATGGCTTCTCAGCCTGGTTTTGAAGACTGCCATCCTTAAAATCAACAGTCTGCTTAGGAAATGCACTTTAAAAAGAAAGATTTTTCCTCCATCACACCAACCATGCACTGATAGTAAAGTTTTCATTCCTGTCACTTCAGCTTCTCAAATTAAGTGCTAGTGAATCTTCTGATTTCAGATATTTTCCAGTGTTTTATCCACTTGGACGACCATTACTGTATATTGATGATCATCTACTGAAAATGTATATAATGTAACTAGTTTGCTGTGAGGTGCTCTACTACACAATGTTCTCTAAACAGGGCATCAGATTTTGTTTTAGATTTGAATAAACTGCATTTTTATGCACATCTTGGTTGCGCATTGTAGTTTATCACTGTGGTCAGGGAAACACCAAACTGAATTTCTTTCAGAGCATATTTTTAATTTCAGAAACCTGGAAATACACTTGGACAGATCAGGTCCCCCTCTGTTGCTCTACCAGCATGATAAATTCTTCCTTGGCTAATCCTATCAGGAAATTGGGTGCTTGTTTCATAGTCCATCTGTGTGGCCATCAGGACATAATGCAAAAAGACACAAAAAGACTCACTGCTGAGTATTTACACTCCACAACTCCCATGTAGCATATATTCTCTCTGCATTATATTGTGTTCTTGTTGTATATTTATTTGCTCCCTTCACTTGCTGCTTTAAAGTGCCTTAGATTTGTGATTTTACTGCCTGTTTAGATTTGTGTTATTGCTCATCTACTTTATATTTCACTTGCATTATGTGGCATTCATGTGGACGGCAAAGTAAGAATTTCATTGTACAGGGAAACACGTTTCCTAACTGTGCATATGACAAATAAACACTTTGACCTTTGACATGGACATCTATGCCTACACAAAAAGGTCTGTTATGTAACTCAGGGATGCTTGTGGCTTGGGCACATGTGAAGTGAGAGAATGTGCTTTTCCCCATTGGAATGCTGCTCATGCCATGCCTCTTACCACTATGGTGGTATTAGTCCCTAATAACAGCATGCTGTGTCTGATGAATACTGGCAGACAACCAGCGCAGATCTGCATGTGTCTGTGTTTTGTGTTGTCAAGCTGTCTGTCAGCAGCAGAGTTTAATCATCTTTGTTTAATTTTGTTGACACAACGTAGTCTACACATAAGAAGTCAATGAACACGTGTTAACATGCAGTGCATGATTTGGAAGACATTTTTGTCCAAAGCATATGCTGTACTATGAGAGAATACACATTATTCTCTGATAGAGCCGATTGAACTGCAGCAGTGAAAAATGCCATTTTTCACCTAAATGATAGAACATTATAGCAGCTTACACTTGGTCAAGAAGTGTCACAACATGTTTGTCCTAAGTAGCCGAGATAGCTCATAGAAAATGCAGAAGTGGTCTGGCGTCAGTAGCACGTCTGCACCACAGATTTGTTGAACTTGTCTCTCATGTCAATTCCCCACAGCACAGTGAGGAAAGACGCACAAGTCTACAGAGATTGACTTCACTTTCTAATACACTTGGTGTACCTACTCACTGCTGACTGCCACATACACACAGCCTAAGGATTATAAAAGTATCTGTGTATAGAAGTTCCCACAATTAACCTTTGACTTGCTCATGTTGTACTCAGTTCTTTGGTGTAACATGCTGAGCAAGAAACAAGGAAGACGCAGCACTGAATGCAGACCGGACAGACCAGTGGCAGGAAATAGTTCACACCTGTAGTCCCAACCTAATTAAAAATTACAAATATTAAAAACTATTGCATGTTGTACAGTCAAAAGACAAAACAAATTAATACATGAAAAAGCAGGTCATTAATGAGTACATGTCTGCAGTGGTGGAGGAAGTACTCAGGTCTCTTATTTTAATTAAAACTAACAATACAACAGTGTAAAAGTCCTGCATTCAAAATGTTACTAAAGTACAAAAATATTAGAATCAGAACATACTTAAAGTACTAACAGTAAAAGTATTCATTATGCAGAATGGCACATTTAACATAAATTTATAACATATTATTGGGTTATAATTACTGATGCTTTATTGTGCACATCACTTTAATTGTTGCAGCTGGTAAAGGGGGGGGGGGCTATTTTAGCTACCTTACATGCTTTTAATTTGAAGTACTTTACATACTGCTGGGTAGCTTGTGCATTTCCCATTAGAGATAGAGTGGAGTAAAAAGTACATATTTTAGTATATATCAGTATATTTTTTTCTAAATGTAGTAAAGTCAAAGTTTGAAGTAGCAGGAAAATAAAATACTCAAGTACAGATGCCTCAGAATTGTACTTTTGTACTTGAGTAGATGTACCTGGTTACTTTCCACCACTGTATGTCTGAATGGATTTTAACCATATTTTAAATATGAGTTTAAAAGTACTATGTGATGTGCAGCTCCTTATTTCCATTGGAACATTATTCCAGGGAGTTGTTGCCCTTATTTTGGATCTACTATCCTTAAATTTAACAAATGACTCATAGGGGGAAGGGCCAGTCCATGAAGAATTTTAAAAATGAGACACATACCTTCTAAAACTTTCTATACTAAATAAATGATATTTCTGAATGATGTGATAATGGTGGTAATGATTAGATTAGTTGTAAAGTATTGCAAGTGTTTGTTTATACACTGACCCCACTGGCCTGAATATGGAATTCCCAGTTTGGGTCCAACCGGAGAGACAGTGAGACAACTTGAGATGTGAGAGGATCATGCTTAAATATATAACTTAGCAACATGCAATGATAGATGAGGCCTGATAAATCTAAATTTAGGCATTGAATACATAATTTTAATAACCCTCTTAATTTGTTTGCTAAAACTAAGAGTTTAATCAAAGCCAACTCTAAGATACAGTATTTAAAATGATCAACAATTCTGTTTTTACATGAGGTTGATGATGGGCTCAGTTTTTTTTTTTTTTAAATGTGTTTACAAATGTTAGAGGCCACATTTAGTCCAGTAAAAGGTAGTTGTTTTCCACTTAGTCATTTATGTGCAATGTACATTGCAAAAATGGATGAATGGAAAGTTGCCTTAAATAATGAGCACTTCACAGGGCATACATGTTTACTTGTCATTTATTTCATGTGATTTCTTAAAATCCAGAAAAAAAAACACTGATCACAATCCAGGAAAAAGAGAGCAAGGAAAAAATAACATGTCACTTCAGATGCTGAAATATGATGTGCTTATTACCACATGCGTGTTTGTGGTATTATGGTTAAGGGCCTGTGTTGACAGAACTTGATTCTTGCCTTTTAAGAAGACAACAGATTTTCTAGCACTGCTGCTACTTTGTCTTAGCAGATTTATTTCTCTCAGCTAGTCAGATCTTTTGAATTGTTTCAACAAAATGCATTTTGAAGAATTGTGTCTTCACATTTTCAGGGTCAAAGCAGAGCTACCCAGCCCTCTCTTTGGTGCCTTCTTGCTCACTGATGCTCATGGCAGTTTGACATGGTACATTTCACTGGACTTTGACCTCACATTGGAATTCATTGCCATTTGATGACCTTTGTTACTAAAACAGGACTGTTAACAACCTTGAAATGAGCACATAACCTTCCTACTTCACTCAGCATCACTGCACCTGTTATGGCGAACCGTATATATAAATATATATGTGTGCTTGTTCGGACTCAGAAAAAGGCAGAACTCGGACTCAGGCTTGACCAGGTAAATGTATTTTAATAACAGAACTGAGAAGTGGTCAGAATCGGTCACCTCAGCCGATCTCAGGGCAACGGGTAGTGCTGGGATGACTGGACTGCTAGAGCTACAACCCTGGGAGAGGCGCAGCTGGCTAAAGAAAAGCAGAGGATGAGAATGAGTAACAGGGATGCTATGGAAATTGCAATACTGATAGGTATACTGAGGACCTGAGGAGCAGAATTTACTGGCTCCAGGCAGGTGAGCGACGTAGGCTACGAACATAGTCCAGGGGGAGGTATAGGAGCTGGCATAGGCAATCACTAGTCCGACGTGCAGTACTACCGTCGTGGTGAGACTCAGGCTCGCAGCAGATGACAGAGCAGGTAGAAGGGCAGTGTGATAAAGGCTGACAGTTGAGATCCAGAGCCGCGCCAGAAGTCCCAGCAAAAGTTGGTCTCCTCGTCCTGAGGAAAAGGTTCACAGTCCAGGCACCAAATGATGCTAAAAAAAACAAAATGGCCAAAACCAGCAGAGGGTACACCAATCCACAGTAAGACAGTTCAAACAGAAAGCGGCCCTCAAAATTAAGGGCATTTAGTTCGTTATTGCAAGTTCACAGTAAAACAAGTCAAACAGAAAGCAACCCTTCAAAAATAAGAAGGGCATTTAGTTCTTTAACACATGAAATCAGGTCCCACAACATAGAAGCAGTTACACCTGCAGTTACACCTAGAATCCTTGAAGGAACGCAAAGCACAATTACTCGCAGGATCACAAGAGATCATCTGGCGACGAGGACACACCAACGCTCCCTTTAAGTACTAGTCTGGTAATTGAGAGCAGGTGTGCCTCGCCGCCTAGAATGCATTCCCACCTGTGCGGGGGGGCGGCGCTACTGTAACAGCCCGTGCCAGCTGATGAAGTGCTGGGGGTGGACAGGGCCATGGACGTAACAGTACCAGCGCATTTCTAAAATGTATCAGCAGCTTTTTATCCTTTCACCAGTTTATGGCTCAGCACACCCTAAATGGAATGACCTCTCTTTAAACCATATGCAAGATTAGAAACCAGATGTCTCTTTCTCTACACCAAACAGCTGTGAAGCCTCTTTATAAGACCTCTCTAAATTCCCTTCAGTTAAATGCTGTGGCTTACCAACATTATTTATCTATTTTTAAGAGTCTCTAGTAGCTCTCAATCTCAACAACAAACTCCCTCAGGAGAAGAGGGCTTCTGTGTGGTATTTCTCTCCATGAGCGATCGGGGTGGCAGTTGATCACAGTTTTAGTCTGGGGACGTGTAATGAATCCAAAACCTCCAGATGTTCAATCACGAGGATATTTCATCAGTCCAGAAGCTCAGTGTTCTTCCAGAACCAAAGCGCCGCCTATTAAGCAGCCTCAGACCACCACTGAGACAAACAGCTGAGTACACTCTGCCCAGCACATCACTACATGTCTTACTATAACTCCACTCTGAACACCACAGTGACTCGCAGGGCTTCAGAGTATAAACACGATAGCACCCATGCTGAACCAAGGTTTCATTTTGATACTTGTGCCAAATGTGTGAAGGAAATACAAAGCACATTTTCTCCTTAAGAAAAATGTAAACTAAAAATATCATACTGGGAATTTGAGGAAAACAGAATATTATTTCTGGGGGACAGACGTCCTG